CTGTATGATTTTCTTCAACATTTTCCTTCCATATTTCAGCTAAGACAGTCCTCCATGAGTGGGGACATTTGCGCTGGGGTTTGTTTGACGAGTATCCGGTGGACGAAAACGATGCTCACTTTTACCACGATTCCATATCTGGGGAGATAGAAAGCGTGCGCTGTTCCCGTGGAGTGATGGGAAGGGGGTATAAGATAGTTAACGACAACATTATATGGAGTTGTTCCTTGGATAAAAACACCAGCCTGCCAGAGAGAATTTGCAGGTTCGCCCCTTCTGTCTCTGCCAATGAAGGGACTGCCTCTCTCATGTCCTACCATTTCGTGAATTCGGTAAGCGATATCTGAGACAACAGTATTATCTCCATTAGGAATTTGTTTAACGTGAAAGCATAATTTGAAAATAAATCAAATGTCACTCTTTTGTTATGCAATGTCAAGACAGTGTTCAAGAAGTGAAAATGCCATACTCTTAAAGTACCATTGATCATGAAATATATATTTTTTGTTATCAGGCATGAGATGTAACATGCCATTTTAATATTTTAATAGAAGCTTTTTCTGAGGTTATGATTAAACAGTATTAAAAACAGTGGAGTAAGGAAGTCTATTATTGCAGGTTATCGAGTTCTGTGACAATGATGAACAAGCACATGCACTTGACCTACATAACGACCAGGCCCCTAACAGGCAGAATAGACTCTGTGGTGGCAGGAGTGCCTGGGAAGTCATGAGAGAGCACGAAGATTTTAGGAACAGTAGGGTTCACGTTTCATAATTAATTCTCAGAAAAAACATGGTGAACATCATGTACATAAAAAAAACATTATTCACTGAACTTTGACAGAAGAATATTGAAATCTTCGAAATATTCCATATATCAGATACATCAAATATTATAATGCCCCCGTTCGAGTTGCCCCATTTATCTCCTCTTGACTATATTTTTCTTTAACAATGCGATAAGAAATGCATGTATCTTTATTTCAAACTCTCTTCTAAATTACCATAACGATATAGATGATATAATTCGAAACCGACTTTCGTTAATTGAAAATTCAGCAGCAGGCAAATATTTAAAGGAAAGAAATTCAAGTTGCTTCCGTTTTATTTTTTAAAACACATAAAATGACAAACTGAAAATCATGCACAGTTATGAGATATTCACAAAAAGCAAATTCTTCCATTGTTCTAGATAATAATCCTCCTGTACAAGGTTATATAGATACAACTCCTACTTTCAAAGTGGTTCAACAGCAACTCAAGAGATATGTACTGGTTCTCGACGTATCCGGAAGTATGGCGTCGGTGAGTGACATTTTTATATTGACGTACTTTAGTGTAATTTGTATTCATAGAGGAAATATTCATACTCCTAGATACCTGATAAGGATTGATCAATTCAATTTGTTATATGTATCCAGTTTTTGGTGGAAAATTACATCTCACACTGCAAAGAAACTTTTTTCGCGGCCAAGATTTTCTTAACAATTGTCCTATCATTGGTATATTCCTCTTAGCAATTCCCTTAACAGAACAATGAAGACTAAAGTTATGCCTTTGTTACTTGATTCATCATGTTGATGCTATTTTTGGTGTTGCTGACGATAGTTATGTTATTCAGCAGTGTTCCTTGTGTGGTATACGTCAAACATCAGGCACTAAGAGTATGTTTGCTTCATTTTCAAATATTCAGTGACGGACACCGACCTTTTTGCCATTTTAGAACAACAAATTAGTTAACTTGAAAAAAGCTTGTGTTGGATTCCTGCAGACCACCGTTGATGAAGGCAGTCAAGTAGGCATAGTAACATTTAATTCTGTAGCCGCCACGTTGAAGAGACTGACGACGGTGAACTCGGAAGCGGTGAGGAATCAGCTGACAACTCTTGTATATGGTCTTGTTGCCAATGGAGGCACTTGTATTGGCTGTGGTCTTCACAGAGGCATTCAGGTATGCTGATCCATAAAGATGAGATCGTGAGATCGACGTAAAACTTCTCATAACACGGCATCACGTCGTTAATCAGTAACGGAAATCGATATCTTAGGTCTGTCTGTGAGCATTTTCAACATTTCAACAATTGCGTCTATAGGTCTATTTTTAGTTTATACAATCTGGAATATTTTACCATTATGTGGGGATAATTGGTTGCAACTATTAATGTTTCTCATAGGAAATTACATCCAGTATTTTCATCACATTTTAGTATGTTAAGATTAAAATATAAAAGTAAAAACATGTTCTTAATAGTATATATATTAAATGCAGTGAAACAATATATCTAATCCGCAGTCGCCCTGAATAAAGTTCCATAATGTAATGGTACCATCGATATTTGTTCTGTAGAGCATAGAATAATACCTATAAAAACTTACCGATATATTGATATCATAACAGCGGTTACTGGTATTTCAGTGTAAGTGATTGTACTTTAGTCTTTCTCATTCCAGCAAGCAATAAATAGTATTCTCTATTTACTAGTTGCTAGAGAAAAATAACAATGTGGCGGCTGGTGGTATTTTGATTGTCGTAAGTGATGGCAAGGAAAATACTGGGTCCTCTCCAAACGTGGCGACAATGAAACCAATTCTATTAGAGAAGAAAGTTGATGCTTTACTGTTTACGGATTTGGCTGAAGACCAGCTGATTTCTTTAGCTAAAGACACCGGTGGCCTGTCTTTCTTTGACACGGGGAATACTCTGTCAACAGCCCTCACAGACGCCTTGTCAAAAGCCGTCACACAGAGGACCAGCGGACTTAGGAAAAATCTAGTTCAGGTTAATGTTCACTTGGCTGATGAAGAGCAATTTAACTACTTGAAACTCCCCCATTCGTGGTGACAACCTTAAATAACATAGTTAAAGCTTATTTTTCTACTTTGCCGTTTGTGTCTGGTGTTTAGTAAATGTTTTGTATAGGTCGAGGTAAGCCAAATATTGTTGGCCCCTTCATAATACTTGTTACCATGGTAACGTGTCATTATTTACCCTGTAGGTATTGCAGAGAAGCTAACCTTCTTTTAAAGCAAATGTGCTAATTCTACATATTATTCATATACCCAGGTATTGTCAGATACCATAACAGTTTCCAGCAGAAACGCTTTTCAAGGCTCCGTATATGTTGACAGTACTGTTGGAAACAACACACGGTTTACGTTCACATGGAGCACTGGTTTGATCAGTGTGACATTGAGAGCACCTGACAATGTGACCATAACGCCCACTGCGCAGGACTACGGGTCTGGAGTACTGAGTCTTAATATAGAGGGCACGGCAAAGGTATGGCTTCATATTGAGTTGAAAAGGAACTTTTCTAAATGTTTTGCCGTTTCTTATATTGGTATCAAAAGGAAGGCTCGTTACCAAAAAATAAAAAGGAAAAAAAACAGACGGGGATAAGTATAGGTATCATAGCTTTCTATGCAGGGTAAAATATTTATTTCAATTAATAAACATCAGTTGTTTATAGATTTCAAAATAGTAATTAAGTTCAAAAGGTGGGTTTTAATTGATAGATAGTGCCGGGTATCTTGAAAAAATTATATCTACATGTAGAGCTTAGAACATAATTCAATGATAAAGTCGTTTATTCCCTTCTAGCTTTGGCTTTAAGTCGGAACAATTAAAACTCAACTCCTGCCTACTGCCGCTGATTAACTTTTGATGTAAGCTCTTTGCAACCCAGCTACACATTGACTTTACCAAATACAAGTGGTTTCCAGAATAGATAAATGTATATGATGATGCAAATACATTCGATTATATTTAGTGTTTTTAAACAGGTCGGGAAATGGCTCTATACTGTCACCAGCTTGGGTCCCGGAAACGCAGCAGTCCAGGTCCAGGTGTCTTCACGTCCCTCTTCAGACGCTGCACCCATTGTACTGAGTGCCAGTGTGAGCAGTGATACCGTAGATATTGCAGGTAAAGGTAACAAGTACTGTTTTACATATATACATATTTTGCAAGATAGTGTACTTCCTGAAAGAAGGTTGAAATAGTGTACAACGTCAAATGGAATATAAAGTATACGTTGAGGAAACGTGAAACAAGTACCGCACCAACTACTCATAATTTTTGTTTTAATAAGTTTTAAGGCAGAGACTCTCTCTCTCTCTCTCTCTCTGTGTGTGTGTGTGTGTGTGTGTGTGTTAGGCGATCTTATGTTTGGCTGTAATGGAAGCATACGAATGGTAGGTTTGCATTATATAGTAACCATTTCAGATCCGAGTATGTCTCGCATTGTCATATACGGAGAGGTTACTCAAGGCTACACACCGGTAGTTGGCGCCACTGTGGTGGCTTATGTTGACACAAGTGCTGGGAATACCCACACATTACAACTGCTTGATAACGGGGCAGGTGAATAGACACGTATTAATGTTCACATTGCTGTTTTAAAAAAATCTGAATACACTGTGTCCTTTTTGCCTTCTACGTTTTAGTTAAAATAACGCCCACATAACTATTGTTTTACCTACTTTTTTTTGTTTTTTAATGATTTTATGGTATATAATCAATTGAGTTGGCAAGCGATGCAGCATTTATAGATTTCAAATGCTGTGCTTCACTTTTATGAAGTGAATTCAATGAGACATAGACATAGATATTTATAATATGGCATTCTTTGAAGAGCACCCTCCATATTTTCAAATATAGACATTTTATATTTTTGAATGTTAGGTATTACAGTGTATTCTGCAAATTTCAGAGTTAAGATGAAACTGTTTATTGAATAATTTCCTTTGCTCAAGATATTTGGCCTGTATTAATGATGTAAGAAAATAAGTTATTTTTTTCCCACAAAGGTGCGGATAACGCAAAAAACGATGGAATCTATACAGCGTACTTTCTTAACTTCGGAGGCAACGTGAAACATTCAGTGCAAGTTGCAGTACAGGGGAAGAAGGTGCTTCGGTCAAATCCGCTGGCTGTGAGTATCAAACATTGCTTGTAATTACCAACAGTCTTTTTCAAGACGGACGGTTAAATGTATCCAATACAACTTGAACTAGCGACCATGAGTCCAATGTTATTACACAGTTCCTGAAGCTGATAGCGACAACTTTAGCGTCTCGCACTGTTGGTTGTTGGTCTTCTTTTTTAAAAATATCGAATCACGTTGAATCCTGTTCGGGTGCATTAAACCAAAAATGTATGCTTAATGTAAAGTGACAACGCATATCAAAACTTTTCTTTACAACAAACCAATTGACTTATTCTAAATCCCCAAATGGATTCCGCCTAATCCTCTTCCCAGCAAACACATAAAGTTTAATAACCATAAAGGAACTATAACGTTTATCGGTTATATAAATGTTATGGGAACATTGAAATAACGTTCTGTGTTTGCTGGGTTATAACCATCCGCTTGTAACCACTAAGAGCACATGTACAATTTTAATAGCTTCATCAAACGGCATAAAGAGCAATATCACCTTCAAGCCTGTAGAACCATTCGAGCGTTCCGACAGCGGAGGTTTGTTCACGGTTAAGAATCTCCCAGCTTCGAGTCCTGGTTCAGAGCCACCAGATCTCTACCCTCCTGGCAGAATCTACGACCTGGCGCTGGTAGAAGTTAACACTGATGACAAAACTGTTACATTGTCCTGGACAGCCACTGGTGATGATCTGGATCAAGGAAATGGTTAGTGGGATATTATTACTCTTTGACAATAGTGTGCATTAGTACCGTAATCCGTTTCAAAATCGCTTTAATTTGATTGCTATTTAGAGGCCCCTGGCACCATAGGGTAGAATATTATGCGTTTCGGACATGATAATTGGGATTTGCATCAGCATTTTTAAAGCAACAAAAAAATAGAATTACGGGACCTGCACCCAAAATATTTGCATTTCATGTCATCAGAGTAATGTAGACAAAATAGGAAAATATATCTGTGTTGGACGTTGCTTTGATTGTACACGTATTCTAAGATGAGATACTGTATCCTCTTATAAAAATGCTTGACATTTAACTGTATTAATCAGAAAGAATGAGTACCCGTAATTTCTTTGTATCGGGTGTCACTTGAAAAACTTCAAGCGAACACTAAAGGAGATATTCGAACAGCAGCTGCATTCTTCCAATTGATATTTTCACACGCTGTTTTTTTTTTCTTTCAGCATCGAGTTACATCATTCGCTACAGCTCGTCAATCTCAAAACTCCGACTAAACTTCAATAACACCAATAAAGTCCTTGAAAGGGATCTTGACCAGGGAAAACTCAATGCTCCCTTACCAGCCGGCGAAACAGAGACTTTCGTCGTCCGATTCAACCAAGCAAATGATTTGAATATCACGTATTTCATGACAGTAGTGGCTACGGACGATAAAAATCAGACAGGAGAAGTGTCGAATATCGTGTCTGTTTCTTTTGTCTACAGCAACCCCTTTCCTTCCCCTAATATAGCAACAAGTACAGAGGCAACCACTGAAAGAATCACAATAACAACTGAACTCAAAACACCTGCAGTGGCTACAACAACTAGTCTTATGACTGGAATGATGACTGAAAAAAGCGCGAGGGAAGCATTGGCCCCGGAGAGCACTTTGATTGGTCTTATTGGTTATATCGTAGCTGGTGTTGCTGTTTTGGTCAGTTTGATATTAAGCTGTATAATTGTTGCGCTAGGATTACATATTCGTAAGAGGAGCCGGTCACATGGGTAAGTTATCCAGCGACAAGACATTTTAACTTGGAAGCAATCAAAGTAGCAAAATATATGACATTACACATGTTTATAACTTGTATTTTATTTTTCAAATTTAAATGTCTTTGAAACGAAGATGGATTTTATGATATATATATGTGTGTGTGTGTGTGTGTGTGTGTGTGTGTGTGTGTTACTATCAAAAGTACGTGTACCTAATTATATAATTATTTAATTTCATGTGAATTGATGGTATTTTGCAAATAAGTGTTTTCATTCATGTATATTTTGATGTTATGTTTTATAGGGGTAGTCAAGCAAAGTGGAGAGATAACCACGGATTTAACGACACGGGTGTCTGACCAATTGGAATGAAAGCATGCTTGTATTCAGGTAGAATAAGGAAGCCAGATGTCCCAAATCTGACTCTTGTAATTATATAAGTACATCTGTACTGTGTTCTTTGATTATGTCTGTCCAGTTAGCAGCATTAAGATGTTATATTAATCCAATCATCCGCCTCTGTTTGTGACAGTAATCCAGTTAGCGGCTTCTAATGATATTTCTCCCATTAGTCGACTCTAGTGGTGAAGTCCATTCATTAGACTACTACACTTTTTACTACGCTGCCTCACATCTACACTGACTAAAGCTGGTCTGCAATTTGATAGGGTCTTTTTTAACTCGGACATAATATGTCCAACCTTTTAATTGCGATGGACGTTATCTGTAACCTATGGCTTGAATGCACCCATACTGCTGATTCGTATTTAAGATAGACGTTGGAAACGACTCCTCCCTCCCAGTGTACAACAAGAAGAAAGGAAACGAAGAATATCGATTGTTCGAGATTTTGCTAAACAAGGCTGCTTTTAACGTTATTATATACTATAACCAAGTGTGTTAATTGTTAGCTGAAATGGGATTTATACTTACAAAGTGCTTAATGCGTCAATCAACAATATTAGCTGAATACTTTAGCAGCATGATTATCATTACTGTTTCTATGTTTTTAAATGTCAAGACAAATCTTGATTGGAACTTCTTTGTTAATGGTCTTTTAACAAGCTGGTGTTCTTTTTTGGATTAGATTTGTATGTGAATTTTTCAACTTGGTTTTAGAATGTATATGCATCTTAAAGGGATGTTAACATTTTATGTTATGAAAAAATATTCACCCTCAAGGTTCATAATGCACTCTTACAATGCAAGGCTTACAATATATGCCTCTTGATAAAAACAGCGTTACAGGTTATATATAGACAGGATATCTTCATGGTGATGAGTAATAATGATATTATAAATATAATATACGCCCAAAATTTTATTAAGATCTATGAAGCATGCCAGGATACATGCAGCAGGAAAACATCACCAGCCTGCGAAAAAAATGCTATCTAAAAGATTCGTGCGTATAAAGTTTCTGTATATATACATGCCGTTATTGCATAAAAAGGCATGTCGTTTGGTTTGAATGTTACTAAAATGTGTGTGTATACTCTACAGGTAATATTGGTGTGCTACTTCTCCAAGTTACAAATGTGTATGCCTATATACAGGTATATAACCAGTTTTGTCTATATACTGCCCTGTTATCATATAGAACTGTTATGTTCTGTTATGTTATGTGTGTGTGAGTGTGACAGTAAATATTCCACTTTAGAGTTTGTATTGCATTTTCTGCAAGTTGCTTTTGTCTAAAATGTAAAATTAGTCAACAGAAAAATCAGTAAGTTAAATTCTCGCTCTGGGTACACTGAAGTTATTGTGTTTTGTAGCTGAGCTCGCATAAAGAAAATAAGCCATTATTGCACTGCTAATATTTCGTAATAAAGCTTTTCAAACAACTCGTTTTGAATGACTTCGCTATTACCTGTTATGTCAGAATAATACGCTAGGCTAGTGCATTGAATTTATACGCGGTTTAAATAAACACAATCTTTGTGGGCTGCGTTTTTTAAAGGTTAACCTGTCCATTGTTGATTTATTTGGCTTTGAACTGTATGTTAAATACTGTAGGCCTAGTTATAAAAGAGTTTTTGACGTGCTTTTCGTGCAAGCGCGTGGGACTCCAAGTTGAACACGACGTGCCGAGGCCTCGTCATGAATTGACGCGTTTCACTGTCGCCATTTGCCAAGAGAAGGCTTTTCAGATGAGCGGAAATGATGGAAGCCTCTCGCTGTCACATAACCCATTTGGTCCTGTTACTGTCTTTGATGGCATTAGCAAGGGGCCAAAGGTTGCGCACCAAAGTTACTCTGATTAACAACGGCTACGAAGGACTTCTTATTGCAATTGGGCCAGACGTTCCTGAAGATGCAAAACTCATTCCAAGGATCAAAGTATGTACTGTATATAGGACTGTTGTGATTTTGTAAAGATTGACATTATATATATATATTTATATAGATAGATAGATAAATACTCACCCTAACCCTTACCCCTATAGGATTCAATGTATTAAGTTATTTGTCATGAAGCACAGTTTCCTTGGATTAAGAGAATTTGCATGCCTTAAACTCTTTTAGAATATTATTTGGGGAAAAAAGGAAAACAAGGTCATTGTGAGGGCATGATGGCGTACGGCCGTACTTCCGTGTTGGAGCTTATTTGTTAATGTGCTGGTTCGTATTTAGTGAATTGCTGAGCTGCACTGACAGCACCACCAGAATTATACAAATGCTTATGTGTGTGTGTGTGTGTGAGAGAGAGAGAGAGAGAGAGAGAGAGAGAAAGAGAGAAAGAGAGAGAGAGAGAGATAACGCCTGTTTTCTTTGCATTGATTTGTCTTAATAAGTATGGTTCACACTTGACTCCACCAAATCACCGAGTAAGTTTTCTTACAAATATCATTACAGATTATATGAATGTTTGGTAATGCAGTAATCCTCTCCTTGCTTTTAGAATGTGGTAGAAATAAGACAGCGGTTTCGAAAACAGTGCATTTATGTTGCAGGGGCTTTTAACCCATCATATGGCTGTCCGTAGTTACCCAATGTTTACTCCATTACACTTCCTGGTCTGTCACAAAGCGTACATTTATTAAATTGACCCCAATGTAAAAATGCAGGTCAGGTGCATGCATTGTTTGCGGTCGTTATCACAACACAAATTACCTGATTTCTTCGTTTTGATTTTAAACCTCCGTTGTAATATTGCTTAAAATTATTCTGTAAGCATATAAATGTTTTTCAGCAAGGTTGGGGGTTTATTTGTTCAAGGTACTATTGTGTGAAGCC